CTGGTTCCGAGCCCAGCGACGGGCCAGCTGCTGTTCCGCCGTCGCTTCCCCCTGTGGCGCCCAAGACATGCTCCTCGGCATCCTGCCGCACCGTGTCTGCGTCAACCCCGTTCACCGACGACTTCCCCCGTCATGGCGGCACTCGGCGTGCAAGGTCTGCATCCCGCGCAACCCTGCTCCTGCTCCCTGCCTGCTGTCCCCCCGCCTGGCCCCTCTTCCGCCTGCCCGCCCGCCCCGCCGGCCCTGGCCCCCCGCCTGGACGGTCGTCGTCGTCTGCCCGGTTCTCCCCCGTCCTCGCCCCCCTCCTCCGCGCAGCACAGCCTGCCCAGGACCGGTGTGGCGCGTGCACCTGTGGGTGCATCCCCGCGGAGCTCCGACCATTTCCTGCCCGTCCAGCCCCGCGCAGCCACGCTGGCGGACGCACGGCCACGACGCCCGTGCCCCGTCGCACGGCGCCGCGTGTCTCCGTCGAACAGGGCCGCACCGTGCGGCAGCCGTTGGACGGCCTCGGGCGGCGCGCCAGCTCTCTCGGCAGCGCCTCTCCCTGCCCGCCTTCACCGCAGAGGCGCCTCGGCACCGACCCGAAGCCCTCCCCAGCACTGCGCGGACACCCCGGCCCGGCAGCGACCCGGCGACCCTCGAAGCCAGAAGCGGACAAGAAGTACGGATCTCGCGGTTGTGACGCAAGTCTTCGGAGAAGAATTGGCCCCTCACGGGCCCGACCTGGACAACATCTTGGCCCGCTCTTCGAACGGCGCCCAGGCGCAGCGAGAATAAGGCACCGACCGCCCAGAAAAAGAGCGGGAGGCAAGAGCAGGACTGGGGGCGTGGGGGAGGACGACGGCGAAGAGGCGGAGGAGGGAGGATGAGGAGTGCAGGATTGGGGAATGGAGAAAGAGGAGGGGGAGAGGGGGGGGAGTAGGAGGGGAGGGAGCAAGTGGAGGAGGGGGAGGAAGAAGGGGAGGAGGACGAAGAGGGGGTGGAGGCAGGCACGGGGAAGGCTGAGAAGGCGAAGGTCAGGAAGAGCGACGGGATAAAGACCAAGCGAGCAACGAGTCATCAAAAATACGACGAGGAGGAGGAGGAGGAGGTTCAGGGGCGATAGCAGGGCGACCGAATCACGAGCACACCGCTCGGGGCAGGCGGGCAAGGCGCGCTTGCTCCACGACGAGGCGCGGCACGAAGCCCGACGCCTCGAGGCCGCAAGCACAGTCGACGACGCCCGAGGCTCGGGAGGAAGCGCAAGAGAAGGGGAGGAGGAAGAAAGAGAGGAGATAGGGCCAGGCATGGGAAGCATGCACACCGCTCCTGGGCCCAGGATGGGCCAGGCCTGGGGGGGCAGTGGATATGTACAGACTTAGGTCGGGCATGTCCTGCTACAGGGGGATTTGGGAGGATAAAATCAGAATAGTCAAACAATACCCCCCAAATAAAAAAACGTCCCGAGGCTACCTTTTGACTATTTTGGAACATCTCTCCTGTAGAGGGACAGGCTCGACTTAAGCACAGACCTCGTTACCCCAAGGGAGGCCGGCCAACGGGAGGGCTCCACCCGGGAGCGCGCGCGCGCGCGCGCGAAGCCCCCGCCGCAGCGCCACTTCCGCCATCGCCGCCGCCAGCGCTGGCAGCAGCACGGGCGGCGCGGCGGGCGCCGCGGGGGGCACCCCCGGGGCATGGTCCTCGGCGGCGTCTCGGGAGGAGGGGGTAGGGGACCACATGCGAGCCCTACCCCTGCCCCCCACGATTGCTGGGGGTGGGGTTCACTTCGCTCGGGAGCTCCCGGGCAAAGTGGACCCCACCCTCCCCCTCAGAGATCGTGGGGTGCAGGGGTAGGGTTCGCGTGTGGCCCCCGGGGGGGTGAGACGAGGGTGGGGCTCGCGTGTGGCCCCCGGGGGGGGGGAGACGAGGACAGCGAGCGCTGGGTGGGGCGGGGGGGGCAGGGCGAGGGACGAGGAAGGAGGCCCGGCAGCGACGGGGCGAGCCTGCGGTGCCAGAGGGCACGGCTCGGGTGCTCTGGAAGCGTGCTCGCAGACCGCCGCCGCGCTCTTCCAGCAGGCG